CATGTCGAAATCAGAGAAAAAAAATGCAGGGTATGCTTGGAGAATTTATGCTGTATAAACTTTAGGTAGATGATACTCTCATTATTGGCTATAATAGTAAATCTATTGAAAACTTTATCACCCTATTTAATCATATGCATCCAAATATTTCAGTGACTTCCGAACTGGAATCGAATAACAAACTCGGTTTCCTGGATATTACAATGACTAGGAGAGATGATGGTGCGATTCAGCGATCTATTTTTCGTAAACATACATGAAGTGGACAATATCTTCATTTTACCAGTATAAACGTTCCCTAGTGAAATGTTTGTTCTCAAGGGCCCGAAAAATATGCACGAGTGACACATTGATGGATGAATTTCGACATATACATTCAGTTTTATTACCTAATGGTTATCCGGAGAACTTTATCACTTGTTACAGTAAAGAAAAACCACATCTCGAAAAGACAGCTTCTGTACCAAAGAAAGCTATCTTCACTAACCTACCATTCAGGGGTGACCAGATTATGCAGTTGGCAGCTCAAAGACTTCGGTCAGCTATCAAACGCACATTCTACGCCGCATCTCTTTTTCTCATTCGCCGAACATTTTCTATCCATGTTCCTACGATTAAAGGACGAAATTCTGTAGACTCTACTGCAAACTGTATCTACAAGTTCACCTGCAGCTGCGGTGACACCTATATAGGTAGAACCAACAGAATGTTCCAATGTCGTCGAAAAGAACATGTTCCAAAATGGCTACTAAATATGATTGGTCATTAGTATGTACTTTTGTTTTTTATTTAAGTGAGTAATTGTCATGATCCGTATTTTATTATTGTTAACCATGTTAGTTGTAAAGCGGTTGTAAAGAAACTACGAAATGATATCATTTCGCGAAATTTATCTTCCTAATGCCTTATTCAAATTTTCAATGGGACTAATAGTCTTGAAAATGAAATGTTTTAAATTATGTGGTACTCAGCGGCGCAAATATAGAAATTTGATTAATTTGTAGTTGCTCTTGAGTGAAAATGGAGGTATTTGAATGTCAATTTAACAAGTTGGTAGAGGCTGTGAAAATATACAAAAGGAGGATATGAGAGTGATAACAGTGAATTAATTATTAAAGTAAAGGCAAACTGAAAGTAAAAGAAAATATTAAAAAAAGAAAAAAAACAAAATTTCTTACAGGGAACGACCAGTGAAGAGGTTATGACCAAGGTTGAATGAGAGACTGGACAAATTTTTTCCGTATATAGAGTTCAGGGTTGTATTGGTGAATTGCCAGTGCCTCCGTCACACACAGAAGCCGAAACCTGACTCCCTTTTTACCATTTGGCTTCACTTTATAGATGATCTTGAAAGATGACTCTGGGGGAGCTACGTGGCCCGAGTTCACCTAATGCTCGAGAATTGAGCTGGTAATTGTCTTGCATTGTCCCTTTGCTAACCATGCCGGATAATGTTCAGAGATGCGTTTGGAAAGCGTGCGCTTTGTGCGGCCAATACAACTAGCTCCACCCGAGCAGGTGAATTTATAAACTATATATTACTATAGATCAAATTTATCGAATCGTTTGGCTAATAAAAAATAAGTCACATGACAAGAAAGTTCGAATTCCAAGTCAATAAAAATGACCAATAAAGTTGAAAATAAATAACTATTCACGATTACCACTTACCAGAGAGTATTCACTGATATGCAGATTTATCTCAACTAAATACAACCAACTAATACATCGTAAAAACTGATGCATTTCAGTTTTCACGTCTTAATTCTGCACGATGTTTGCTTCTGTACTCCTTATAGTTCACCGACCAACATGTTTTCGACGGTTATAACTATGAACATACAGTGGTGGAATTTCTCATCGATATATATGTGTTCATCTGGAATAACTAAATCTTGTGAATTCATCTCAGTCGACTTGAGTAGATCGACTCTGTTAAGATAATGAAAGGTTCACATGCGTCGGTTGCACAGCGGTAGAACGCTCGCTAACCAGGCATGTGGCCAAGGGTTCGATCCCCGGACGATGCCCTCCTTACCCCCTCTAGACCTGTAGTAAGACTGGTAAAGATGGAAGGTGGGGAATGAGGCTAGCAACCCCATCCCGTAAAAAAATACCACTGCTACCGAAACTTCAAACCTCCAGTTTGAAGCCCTGTGTTCCACTAGGTGGAAGGGTGCATAAAGGAATAGAAAAAAATCACCAAACACCTGATAGACACTGGTAATAATTAACAGATAAAACAGCTCAAGTCTTCTGCGGTTGCTGAGGCTATCATAGTAAAACGGCTGAAACTTGTCTAAAAAGAATCTGTTGTTAGACTCCTATAACCCTGGTGTGTCTCATCCCTTCGGACTTCATTAACTTATGTTTTCAACGCTCCCTATCGCTTCGTTTCTTCTGTCTGACTTCCATAAGAGATAATTTTTTCTTGACCTTATCAAAATCTACTAATCATACATATTACATCATCACCTTTTCACCTGACCTCTTACACGCCAAATTTTGATCTCCTGTTATATAACTATGTAGTTGTTGCTGATTTCTGTTACCATCCTAACAACAAACTTGGAAACTGATTTTCTAGAAACTTCTCTCTAACAAGATATATATACATACTTACACTTCAGCTACCTTGTCATCCTGATGTTTTATCTCCTAATGACACTCTTATAGTATGCTTATCGATGAAAAAAGTATGTCAAATATTATGCTGACTTTTATGCATGAAAGATTATAGGTTATATGCAGCTGATGGGAACTAACGAAGTAAAATGGATCCATGTTTGTTCTTTTTCTGCTCAGAATCTTTTAAAAGGGAATACTTGTATGAAATGCAATCACTGCTTGTGATTTCTCCAGAAAGTAATAAAAATTCCCTGACGGCCTAGTGTGCAATGATTGTAGGAATTTTCCTGAGGGTAAATATCATAAAGAACCAGGAAATTGTGTAGATAACATCTTCTTGAAGCTCACAGTCATTATTTATTGAGTAGAAAGCTAATGTACTTGATGTTTCGAAGACACTAACTACTAAAACTCTTGATGAGGTACTTCTGATAGATGGTTATTCCATAGAGAAATGTATACGATAACAAACATTAGGCATTCAGCTATTCATTCATTCACTCATTGATGGAGGTTCACAAAATGACTCAATAACAGCAAATTTTGATCTTCTTGATATCGTAGGCGACGGGACAGGCTCCATAAAAGACCATCAGCTTGTATACTTTCAACCAAAGAGGTCAGCTTTTCCACATCCACCTCATCACTGCATGCTTTAATGTAGAGGAAGGTGCTTGATTCACTATAATAGTCAGCTTTGAGGCTTCTTTAGCAAGACAGGCAGCCTTTTTTCAGCCCGGACAAGTGTATGTTCTCTGTCATTTTCAGTATCTGAACCACAAATATCGGATTACACATCGTCTTCAGCCGATTTTTACTTGTGTCACCAGCCCTGCTTTAAGCTGCCTAATGGCTTTTCATTTTCCGATATGCTATTAGCCACTTTAGCCACATGTGATGCCTCAAGTGATTAGGTAACAGAAACATGATCCAATGGTGTTTTGATATGTTCTCTAGCTTTCTGAATTTCTTGTGTTACAGTTCTTCGTTTCAGTATATCTGAACTTTCTGGTTGGCCATTCGAGGATAGTTAATATATGTCTTCTGATTATCTCAGTAGTCTCAGTATGAAAGCGTTTGTGATTCCGAAAGTAGACCAGCTTCCATTTTGCACACAAGACAAGTATTGTACAGCAAAATTATTTAACTAAATCAAATGTAAGAAGTACCTGGGGATCAGGAAGAATATTCCCAACAAGATGGAGTCAAAAACTCTGTAAGCAAGAATCACAAAAACTGACAATTCCCGCAGATCGTATATAACGGATCATAGCAGCTTGACAACTAGACAAAGATTGAACGCTGCTGTTATAAAGACATTTTGTGCAGCTAACATCATAATAATTGAGAATGTGGAGCCAGTACATCCATCCATCTAAGCCCTTAGGACATACGATAGATGATTTCACATCCCACTTTATTCACAACTTTGAATGTAGTTGTGGTTATGCATACACAGGGAGGACTCATTGATCTCTGCAGATAAGAGCTGACTTCAAACTGTTAAATATCCCACTTAGCAGCATCTTTTGCCGAGTCTTATATATTTTTTTGTTTTTCTTCTTAAGCAAACAGTATACAGATTTTATGAAAGTGGTCATGTAAGCTAATTCTCCAGCTTAATGGCAGTCAGGAATGTACATCTAGATCGTTTCATTTCTGATCAAGAACTTGAACTTAGAAAAAAAAGTACCACTAGAAGACATAATGATAGGAAAACAGCTGTACCTGACATATACATTATTTAAATTCCATGAGAAAATACACAAACGAACTGCAGGAGTTGCCATGGGGTCAGTGATATACTCGATAGTGCCAGATATATTCATGGATAGGTGGGAAAACTTAGCGATTGAAACGTTCAGCCCCACCTTAAGAGTTTGGTGGTGGTATGACACAGGAGAAAACTGAATTTTTCGACATGTCAACTCGAATGTGGAGAAAGTTAAATTCACTTTTGAAATGGAAAGTCATCGAGGGGGATTTCAGTGTTAGACTGTAATGTAAGAAGCAAAGAGGATGAGAGGATAAACGCTAGCGTTTACAGGAAGCCCACACATTCAAACCGATATTCGGATTTCGGGTCATCCTTTCCATAAATTGTCTTATCTTATGGTTGTCGATCACCACAATACACATACACAAACGTAATGTAGCACCCCTATACCAACTGTAAACATGCTTTTAATCTAATTTGCATACTTGTATTATATGTGTATACAGACCGATTTTATATGTACTTCTCAAACATTTGTCAATTTACTGTTGAACATTACCTTGACACAATTTCGAAATTTGACTACTGCTAAAATACACGATCGTACTCTTTGCGAGTGCCTTTTAGTTTCGCGTTGTGGGCGTCGGGTAGCCACAGCGTCTATGCACATTAATAAAAGTGAAGAAGTACTAGAATATACGTGTACACAAGTTTAGTCAAATAACGAACGCAACAAATTGGTGACTTCGACGATAATTTGTTCACCCCGACGCATCATTACACTTGCTGAATTAATAAAACTCTAACTTTATCGGATCTATATATATATATATTTATATAAATGTTATAGACATTTCGAACTCATTCTTGTGCTCTCTCATCGAACAACTTGCAGTGATCTGCGCGGTAAGCAACTGCATTGCATGTTTTTCTGTTTGCCATATTCTTAGTGTGCATAATTTTTGCTATATTGTTACTCTTAGATCATTTTTCTACGAATTGTAACATGTCTTCCAATACCTCTAATAACTTAGAGCTGGGATCTGTTAGTACTATTTCTCTTACTGTACCAGTTTTTAAGCCCAGAAATCCCCATCTTTGGTTTGCACGACTAGAACATTACTTCACTACCAATAAGCTCACATCACAGACGACTAAATTCGGCATTTTGAGTACAGTACTACCAGATGAAGTCGCAGAACAGGTTCGACAACACATAGTTCAAGCCAGCACAGACACTCCTTACGGCAAGTTGAAGGAAGAGGTACCTCGATGCACTTCGCTTTCAGATAGACAAGCACTCGATCGTTTGTTAAGCAATGTAGAGCTAGGTGGTAAAACCCCATCGCAACCCATGAGGCATATGCAAAGCCTAGTAGCAGGAAGAGAAATCGATAAACGTCTCTTTTACCAAATCTGGCTGCGACGACTTCCTGCAAACATTCAGCAAGTTCTTGCTTTCGGAGACAACGACATCGATATAGAAAACCTCGCCAAAATCGCGGATCGCATGTATGAGAGGTCAACACCTCAATCTGTTGCTTCCACTAGCAGAATATCAGACACTCACGACAGGATACAGACTCTAGAACACAAAGTCGATAACTTACTGAGTCAGTTAGCAGCACTGACCACACGCACACGACCAAGCCGTTCTAGAAGCTCGTCTCGTCGACGTCTTTCTCGATCGCCTAGCACGTCACGACATCACGATACTATTTGCTGGTACCACCGTAGTTACGGAAGTAATGCACGACGGTGTCGTTCACCTTGCAACTTTCAGGCTAAACCAAAAGATATATCGTCATGTATGAAAACTTCTACTGTCGGCAATCTACGATCTAGCAGTCGTTTGTTTTATGTAACAGATAGAAATACCGGTACTACGTTCTTAGTCGACACAGGAGCAGAGGTTAGTGTTCTCCCTCCGACTACGCAGGAACGTCAACATCCTGACCCTGCAGTTACGCTCCAAGCCGTTAATAAGTCTAATATTGTTACATATGGTAGTAAACGAATGACTTTAGATTTTGGTCTGCAGAATACCTACACTTGGTCTTTCATCATCGCAGACGTTCCATCCCCAATCCTTGGTATAGATTTTCTACAGCAACACAAACTGCTGGTTGATCCCACAAGCCCTAAGCTTATAGACTCGCTCAATAAAAAGTACATCGCTGGTACGATTAGCCGTGCATCATCGCTGAACTTGATGGTCACACGCACACCAGCATCTCCATATACTGACTTAGTAAATCAGTTCCCTGACCTTCTACAACCCTCAACCGAGCAACAGAACTAAAGCATCAAGTGGTTCATCACATTAAAACCACTGGACCACCAGTTTTTGCACGTCCTCGACGCCTTGACCCACATCGACTTAAAATCGCAAAAACAGAGTTCGATAAAATGTTAGAGCTCGGCATTATTCGACCATCCAACAGCTCTTGGTCTTCACCGCTGCACATGGTACCCAAAAAGTCTTCTGGTGAGATACGGCCGTGTGGGATTATCGAGCTTTAAACAAGCAAACGGTACCTGACCGATACCCCATACCGCATATTCACGATTTCGCCAGCAACTTGCCAGAGGTTAAAATTTTCTCCAAAATCGACCTTGTCAGAGCGTACCATCATATTCCCATCCACCCGGATGACGTTCCAAAAACCGCTATCACCACGCCATTCGGCTTATACGAATTCGTGCGCATGCCTTTCGGGCTGATGAACGCCGCTCAGACATTTCAACGTCTCATCGACCAAGTACTCCGCGGCCTGCCCTTCGTCTACGCATACATTGACGACTTACTAATTGCAAGTGCAGACGAAACCGAGCATGTGAAACATGTGAGGACGGTGTTCGAAAGACTTCACAAATACGGCATGACTATCAATTTAGATAAATGCGAATTTGGTAAGAAATCACTGAAATTCCTCGGTCACTTGATTGACAATCAAGGAATTAGACCAGTCCCCGACGATGTACAAGCTATCAAAGACTATCCATTACCAGATTCTTTCAAGAAATTACGGCGATTTTTGGGTCTAGTCAATTTTTACCGGCGTTTTATCCCGAACTGTGCTAGAGTTTTGCAACCGTTGACCGACTGCTTACGTGGACATAGTCGTTCATTCAATTTGCCTGCAGAAGCTGTTAAAGCATTCGAAGCTGTTAAACAATCGTTAAATGACAAGACGCTCTTAGTCAGACGCCAGAATGACGCCCCCCTGTCTCTCATGACAGATGCTTCAGACGTTGCCATTGGGGCAGTGTTACAACAGCAGGTACATGGCGAATGGCAACCCCTTGCATTCTTTTCGAAACGACTGAATCCTACTCAATGTCGATATAGCACCTTTGTTAGAGAGTTATTAGCTGTTTATGTAGCAATCAAGCACTTTCGACATATGCTGGAAGGTACACCTTTTACTGTCTTTACAGACCACAAATCTCTAAAGAAAACCTTATCAGCAAAACAGGATAATTACTCTCCGCGCGAACTACGACATCTCGAGTTTATATCCCAGTTCACCTCCGATCTGCGACACATAAAGGGTAAAAACAATGAAGTGGCAGACGCTTTATCACGTGTGCACATTGACAACATTGTATGCCCAGACATCGACTACGAACATCTCTCAAACTTACAACGAGATGACACCGAACTCACAAAGATCATGTCTTCTCCCCATTCTGTTTTCTATATAAATGTGTTTATTAATGATATATTTCACTCACTTAATCTATTACACTTTAATGTTACACCACAGCACTTTAATTTTTCTAAAACAGCTTCCAATTCCTTGTAAACGTTGTACTTGCCTCAATATTGGTTGATTATCGTATGCCTACAACCACGGGATGAAAACGAAACGAAGTCGATTTTCCCGCTCAACCTGGAGGACAATTGTACAATTCAATAACTATACAGCCTAGTTCAGACAATGTGTATTTATATATATATCAAATATTTAACTGTTGAAACATTATTAACTTGTAGACAATTTAAGATTTGACATTATATCATCCTTGATCGTGCCTGTAAAAATGGCATGCATTTTCATGTAAATTTATGTTTATATGAAAATAAATTATTATTATTATTATTACTATATAAAACAACATCTCTAAACCTCGAGGCAATTCCTTTCAGGACGACAAAAGTTATCTGCGACACCTCTACAGGTAAATATCGACCTTTCGTTCCAATAGCTATGAGACATACAGTATTCGAGAAGTTACATAATTTGTCGCATCCTGGTGTTAGCGCTACTACCAAGCCACTAAGAGAAAGATTTATCTGGCCAGACATTAACAGCGACGTTAAGAAGTGGACACGAAATTGCTTGTCTTGTCAAAGAGTGAAAATCAACCGGCACACCAAAGCACCACTTGGTCGCTTCCCTAACCCCGACTCTAGATTTGACCATGTACATGTAGACATAGTTGGTCCACTGCCTCCTTCCAATGGTTTCAACTATATTCTAACCTGCATTGACAGATTTACTCGTTGGCCAGTGGCAGTTCCATTAATCGACGTCTCAGCTGAAACGGTAGCTAAAGCTTTAGTCGAAAACTGGATAGCCAATTTTGGTGTCCCATCAATTATCACTACAGACAGAGGTGTCCAGTTTGAAAGCCGACTTTTTGACCAGCTGACTGAATTACTAGGCATTAAACGAATACGAACGACAGCGTACCATCCTAGTTCCAACGGTATGGTCGAACGATTTCATCGACAACTCAAAGCTGCGCTCGCTGCTTCTTTGACTCGAAGCGATTGGTCAACCAAACTTCCACTAGTATTACTTGGTATACGAGCTGCTCTAATAAAAAATATATTGGCTGCTGCGTTTCCGAACTAGTCTATGGAACAATATTACGATTACCAAGAGAATTTTTCACCCCGGGTAACCAAGTTCCACACGATATGACTGGTTACGTGCACCAGCTAAAACAGCACATGAACGAGCTAAAGATATCACTTCCACGCCAGCAGGAACGAGCGTCATACATGCCGTGACAACTGACAGATTGTACTCACGTCTTCGTCAGGAGGGAAGGTGTACAACGACCACTTCAACCCGCTTATGATGGCCCATTCAAAGTTCTAAACGGAAATGCTGGCATCAATATTTTGCCTGCAAAATTTAGGCTACTGATATCACATACTGAAAATTCTAAATTTTTACCAACGATACGATGTGGAATCAAGCCATAATGGAAGAAATAGTTCTCTCCAAAATAATTATAGATTTGCACAATGAAAACTCGTGTGGAGCAAGTATGTGATTGCAGCTCTTATTTTGAAGGGACTCAGTTGCGTAGGTGAAATGGAAAACTTATCCAAACCTGAAGGATCGTTCGCGATTCATTGTTGGGTACTCAGTATGTTTTATGCAGTAAGAGAAATGTCTGAGTCATCCGAGGAAAGAGTCAGACCGTACTGCATATTCTAACTTAGGACATCGCTGCAGCATTTAAGTCTGACACGATAATAAATCACTCCAAGATCACATGGCTAGGAAGCTGCAAATCACACTCTCAAGGCTGTGAAGATTCATGGTGCGGAGGAAAAGCACTTGTCAAGGGACGTGAACACCGAACGTTTGGTTTTGGAACCGGTAGCCATTGGTGGGTAATCCGAAGGTGCGAATAGTTTGATCGTGTAAGAGTTCGAAGAAGACGAATAAAAAGGAATTAAAGACAGAATAAATTTGTATAAAACATTTGTTTGTAGACTTGTATTATTCTCCATTTTAATTTCAAAACAATATAACTTCCTTCTCACAATACTGGTGTTTTAGAGTTAAAGTCGGAGAAAGTACATAATATTTATCGGTGCGGAGCGTCTTCGTAACAACGGGATCTTGACAGCACTAGTTCTGCATGGCCTGGACAAATTTCACTCCATGTTATACTGCGTATCATCTGTGAGAAATTCGCTAGTGCTTTGGAAGAGGTGATCCCTCCATTTAAGAGGTAGTGCGTAACGCTTGACCACTCTTGACAGAAAAGCGGACTCAAGAGCCACCAAAGAAACTATAGTTCTTTGCTTCGTGCGCAGGTGATCAGGCGAAATTTCACCCTCATGCATCAGAATGGAGGGAGGGTGGCGCTAGCTGATCAGTAGATATGGTGGTGGTCACTAAGGTGAATCACCCCACTCTGCAGGAACAGCAATATGCAATTTGACGGCTCGAGATTTTTCTGAATTTTGTGAGGGCTTAGATCTTTATCTTGAAAAAGATAATAATGAACGCCTTGACAGATCATGCTTCTGCCCTTAAATATATACGATTTGTTCAGCCTATGGTTGAGATGCGACCACGTGGGTTCTGCACAGATTTATGCGGCATCTTATAAATTAACTTGCTGTTCATCGTCGGATTTATGAATACCATCTCATTTCATTCATTTTCTAATGACGTCTTTACTCGATCCTCATTATATTCCATTAAACCTAACATTTTATAGCTCTTTATGAATTTGATTCGACCTATTCTATTCCTATTCTCTGTAGGGTACAGTTGTGCACCAAATGCACAAAGAGGTATAAAATAAAAAACCGGCAAGAGGATGAATGTATTAAAACCAGAAGTGGATATCATGATAGTAAGAACTATATAGGTAGCATTATACATTGCAAATGAACGTTGTCAGCCCAAGGGAGTTTCCTTCATAAATGAATTTATTAATGATACTTGCACTTTTCTATTTCATTGCACTTTATTGTTTCACCTCAGCACTTTTACTTTTCTTAAACAGCTTTCAATCCCTTGTAAACGTTGTACTTGCCTCAATATTGGCTGGTTATCGTATGCCTACAACCACGGGATGAAAACGAAACGAAGTCGATTTTCCCGCTCAACCTGGAGGACAACTGTAAAATCTATTAACTATACGGCCTGGTTCAGACAGTGAGTGTATTTATATATATATCAAATATTTAACTTTTGAAACATAATTAACTTGTAGACAATTTAAGATTTGACATTATAACATACTTGATCATGCCTGTTAAAATGGCATGCATTTTCATGTTAATTTATATGTTTATATGAAAATATAAATATTATTATAACAATTGGGCAGTTTAATAGCCTACAACGCCACTTTCGAAGACAGACACTTATCTCCCTGGGAAATTCCAGAGAAGAGGTATTAAGCTAAGCTGAAATGCAACCCTGTGACAACTGGATATGAAGCCCGACCCTGTACATTGAACAACTCGGACCATTCAAACATAAATATATCTGCGTAAGCGGACTATTTTAATCAATTTTAATCTTAAAACATGTACCTACTTGGGACAGTGAAAACGTAACGATTCTCAGGACGTTCTTCTCCTCCTAAAATAACTTT